TAAAAAAGGATTTTAATTTGTTTTGACCATTGAATTAACTACTTTTTTATTATTGAAAAGGTTATTCATTATTTAATTATTTAATTAAGTTACAAAAAGCTAAAAATTTAAAAACTTACCTAATGTTAGAACCTTTTTTTGAGATATTACATGTGTCTGATGGAAGAAATCGAGAGATTAAAGGAACTAAACGAAAGTAATTTTATATTCAAAAGTTGCCCAAAAGGCCGATTATTGATCTTTATTGGCAGTTATGGGTTGTTGTTTTTTTGTTTTTTAATTTAAAAATTCTATAAAAAGAGAACTAAATTTTAAAGTTACATGTGTCAATGTTTGTTTTCTGCAAAATTTGAAAAACAAATTTTGTGTCAAAGTTTGTTTTAATTTGACTTAATTTAAATAATATCAAATGGACATCAAATAGACATCACTTCAAATTAATTGCTATATGAATATTGATGTTCATGGACAAAATTCTTAATTTTGGATTTTAGGTTTAGAGTGAATAACAGGTTTTTGGAGGAATCATTGTCACAAAAATGAATTTTTGTGACCATGATTCATCCAAAAATGAGGAAATTTAGGAAGATTTGCTAGGTTAGAATCATGAAAATGTACGACCTAAAATTTAAATAAATGAATTATGAGTCTGTCATAAAAAATACACAAATTTATACAAATATTTAAATGATCACCAACCAAGAACATCTTAGAAAAATATATTAAGGTTGAATTTAGAAAACAGCTTTGATAATAGACTGTAAGAAAGGGTGGAGCGATTTTACAAAGTAAAAAATTGTAAACAATATTCATTAATTGATATTTACCTAGTCCAAGATAGTTCTGTCACAGAATGAAGTGACATTTATATCAGAGATTATTACAACTTTAGTTCCCATTAAACCAACGGTTGAAGCACTTTTTTGCCAAGATTCTATTTACAGCCATAGCTATTAACTTTATGCTTACAAAAGATGCTAACAATAAAATAAGCAAGGAAATCCGTGCAATTTTAATGGTTTGTATGCATGAATGCCAAACTGATAAGAGTAGACTTTTGCAATACGGTTGAAGCTCCTTTGAAGTCAATGAAGAAATAATTACAGTACCTTCTTCATTTGAATGTCCAAAACTTTTGATAGAATTTCTGAAATGATTAAACGCTTCCGATCCTGCTCTAGTAAGAGCATCAGTTGAGTCCGATATGCTAAATTGGATTGAGGAACCTGAAATGGCACCTGAGTCTGTAATTAATCCTTTAAGTATTGAAGAGGATCTTGATTGTGTTATTAAAAAAGGACAACTACCAATGCAACCAGTTAGACATGAGACGTTGTTATCAAAAATTCAAAAAGAAATAACACTATTTGAAAAGGGACAACTGAATAAATGCGAATTTCATAAGTGTGAACTGGCATAAGTACGAACTGGCATAAGTGCAAACTGGAAGAAGTACAATCTGGCAGAAGTACTATCTGGCATAACTGCAAATTGGCATAAGTGCGCCAAACAAATTTGCAAACATTGGCATAAGCGCGAACTGCTATAAATGCAAAATGTCAATTTGCGCTTATGTTAATATTTGCAATTTTATTTGGCACACTTATGCCAATTCACACTTATGCCACTCGCACTTGTGCCAGTTTTTGCAACTGTTTCTCACTTATGCCAGCTTGCACTTATACTAACTTGCACTTATGCCAATGTTTTCAAATTTGTATGGCACGCTTATGCCAATTGGCACTTGTGCCAGTTTTTGCAACTGTTTTGCACTTATGCCAGTTTGCACTTATGCTAATTCACACTTATGTTTGCAAATTCTTTTGATGCACTTATGCCAATTCGCGCATTTCATACTTATGAAATTAGCCAGTTGATACTTATGAAATTTGCACTTATTCAGCCTCCCACTTGAAAATGTTGGTACATGTGGCGATTATTTAGGAAGAGCGTATTTATATGTAATGACCACGAAACCGACAAGTGTCAAGGCTGACTAATTTTTTTCTGCTGAACTGTTCAATACAAAAAATCATATTCATTTAAGCGAAAAAACTTTAGACGTATTTGCTTCCTTTAGTTGCATTTCAAAGCACATAAAATGTAATATATTTCATTTTTTCATCATTTCTTAAGATTAATTAACAATTTAAATAACATGTTTCTCATGCATGTAACAATTTAAATAACATGTTTCTCATGCATGTAACAATTTAAATAACATGTTTCTCATGCATGTAACAATTTAAATAACATGTTTCTCATGCATGTAACAATTTAATGTAAACTGTCTTCATTTAATAAATATATTTTTGGTTAAAAATGTACTGTTTTTATTCTATTAATATTATGTAGATGTTATACTGCTTTTTCATTCCGGAATCCCGGGATTAAGAAAGACCACCGGAATTGCAATCCTAAAAATGAATAATTTAAACAAAAACAGGTTTTACTTTGACTTCCTTACACTTTCATATGTTGTTTTTTGAATAAAAAAGTTTTCTAGTAATAAATGTGTACACTATACAACCCAAAAACAATTTTATGAACTAAAAATTGGGTGGATGGATCTTTTTGATTATAACTGTATTAAGATAACAGAAACTTGGAGTGGATTTAAGTTCTAATAGTATAATTCTGAATATTAATTAAAACTCAAAAATATTTTTAAATCACAAACCCCAACTGTGAAATTCCCACTTGATTTTTAATTGAAAATCTTCAAACTAAAAGTAAATAAAAATTTTAAGTAAAATAAATTTAAATAGGTTGAATTATTCTATAAATCTTCTATAAATATAACTTATAAAATATTAAAAAAACTTCTATAAATCAATCAGAAAGTTTATACATTTTTATAAAGCAATCAGACAGTTTATTTATCTTTATCAGATATCAATTATTTCTATAAGCCTATCATAAGGTTTATTTATTTTTATTAAACCCATTATTTCCATAAACCATTCAGACAATATATTTTTATTACATAAATAAAATAAGAGTATAACTAAAAGAAAAACAAACAATTACCAACCCTTGAAATTAGGAAAAATGAGGTCGGCAATAAATAATTTTTTGCCGACCTCAACTGTTATAGGTCGGCAAAAAAAACACTGATACAAAGGGGTTACAATAAAACATAGAAACGAGGTCGGCAATTTTTTGCCGAACACAAACACTTTAACAACGGCAGTTAGGTCGGCTTTGCCGAATGCCGGCCCAAATTCCAAGGGTTGAATTACAGAAAATCAATTCAAGTGTTTTTAACTGTTATCTTGAAAACATTTTATTTGATTGAAAACATTTTAAGTGACCCACTTTTTTATCTCCAAACTTTTACGGGTTAAAAAAATTATATCAATAATTCAATATTAGAATTCATTATATTAGAATTTAAATAATTTTTAATTAAATTTATAAAAATAGAAATAAATGAGTAAAACCTTTTACTTGAACTTTCTTTGTATAAAATACCTTATTTAATGTTTCAACTAGTTTTGGCTTCCTGTCATCGAAACTATTTCTACTTTGTTGTTTCACGCGCTTTAAAACTTGTTTAACTAAAAAAGAAAAACAGATAAGTAAATATAATTACAAGAGTTTTTATTTACAACAAAATGTGTTTTATTTACAACAAAATGTGCTTTAATTTACATCAAAATGTGTTTTTTTTTACAACAAAATGTGTTTTTATTTACAACAAAATGTGTATTTATTTACTTAAAAAGTGTTTTTACTTACAACAAAATGTGTTTTTATTTACAACAAAATGTGTATTTATTTACTTAAAAAGTGTTTTTACTTACAACAAAATGTGTTTTTATTTACAACAAAATGTGTATTTATTTACTTAAAAAGTGTTTTTATTTACAACAAAATGTGTTTTATTTACAATAAAATGTGTTTTTATTTACATCAAAATGTGTTTTTTTTTACAACAAAAAGTGTGTTTTTTACAACAAAAAGTGATTTTATTTACAACAAAATGTGTTTTTATTTTCAACAAAAAGTGTTTTTATATACAACAAAATGTGATTTTATTTACAACAACATGTTTTTTGTCACTTCTTTAATAAAAAACAACTAAAAAAACAGAAAAAAATTATTAACTTTTGAATGAATGAATGACCTTGTTATGAATGAATTAATGACATTACTATGTTATAATTGTGTTTTAAGTTTTTATAAACTTTAATTACTAAAATTTGTTTGCAAAAGTTTATATAACACGTTTAACTTATGTAATATGGGTCAACTAAAGACTTCTTGTAGAAGCCACATTCTTCCACATGCACACTTAAAACAATTGTGCAAATTCTGGACCATTTTTAAAGCATTTTCAATTAACCTAACCAAAACAAAAAACAGAACAAATTTGCAAAGTGGTAGACAGCAGTTGATTCCTGAAATATGAACAAACAGATACAAAATTTTTATCGGGCATGAATCAAGCAAAAGCGTTATCCCTAATAGCAACAAATCTTTACTAGATGGACGTATGCACATGATGTGTCATTAATCTCAGTAAAAAAGGGAATCAATCCTTTCATTTGGTATTTTTTTCTGCAGATCAGCATCGGTTATGTAATATTTGTAAAGAATAGGAGGATATTGGAGGTGCGAAGAACTTAAAGCGCAAAGTTTTTTGAACATCCACATAGAATATTTACTGCACATGTAAACTCAAAGAAACACTGGATACTGCCAGAAAACATCAACAGGTCGACAAATACTTTTAAGCAAAGGGACTGTATAAAAAAAAGGGACTGTATAAAAAAATTTGGTTGATAGCAGCTTACAATACAGAATTTCAGGTAAACAATGCAACCAAAACATAAAAAAGTTTACTTTGTAATTAAAAATAATTGGGCAGTCCGGGCGATCTTTAGTGATATCATTGAAGTTATTTAAGATCATGGCAATAAAGATAGATTCACACTATAAAGTACTGGCAAACGAGCGACGTACACACCAGCAACTAGTTTTGATTGGTTTGTCAAAAAAGTAAGTGATAATTTAGAAAATGAGGTTTGCACTAAAATTGTTTTGGCCTGTGACTTTAGTGTTCTTGCTAATGAGATGAGTAACATGTCAAATAGGACTGTCTTTTCTGTTTTTATTGTTATGTTGTTTCTAATTCTCATACTATTAAAGAAATATTTCTTTTTTTAGTCCAAGTTATTGCAAGAAAGGATGCGAAAATCTTATGTGAACAAATACCACTAGTTTTAAAATCTCATTCGAGAGATATCCTGCAAATACATTTCCATAGCTTTGATGGAACTAACACAATGACTGGGATGCATAATGGTTTACAAGCTAAGCTAAAAAAAATTTCTCTTCACTCAAAGTACATTTTCTGTTGCTGTCATTGTTTATCTCTTTTAAGTATATTGAAAATTTCCATTATATTAAAAAAAATCATTATCAATAGTTAAAAATAAACATTATTCATGTTGATAAAATATTTAATAGTCTAAAAAATTACCTAAATACATGTTTTTAATTTGAAACCAAAGGAGTTAACTGGACCACCTCAGGTTTTAAAGAAGCATGGTGGGTTGGGTAAATCAATGAGAAAAGCAATTTATGAAAATTTTAGCATAAAACCTTAAGTGGTTCATGAGATATGTTTATTTGAAATTTCTGATTTTTCCACACACAAAAAAAACTTCAGTAGTCAAAATGTGTTTTATTCATACTTTAAAGTATTTTTAAAAAAATGGGTTCTTTAAGGCATAGGCAAAAATTTTGAATAAATTGTGATGACTGATAAAAACTGATGTCAATAGACCTATTCACAGTTGAATAAATTGTGATCACTGATAAAAACTGATGTCAATAGACCTCTTCACAGTTGTAATAATTTTGTTGGTATTTTAATAGTTCATTATGTTTTTTTATGGATTTTGTCAAAAAGAGTAAATGGACAGATAAATTATAAAAGCATCTTTGAAAGAAATTAATAATCTTTACATAAGATTATTTAAATGTTTTTGTTCTAAAATGTTTATGGAGATAAAAGAGTGAAAAATCTGCCAATGGTCAATTTTATCATAGTTAATGACCCATAGAAAACACTGCTTTCCAAGGTTGACAAACCATGATAAAAAACGCAAACCAAATTTTTAAAATTGTGCTCTAGACAGGTCCATTTTTAGGGGTCTCATATACCATGATTTTCCAACTTATTTTACTGTATAAAAAAATAAAGATAAAAAAATATATATATTAGAGTTAATAAAGAGTAAATTATATTTAGGAATAAAGATGTTGATGGTAACTTTGAAACATTACCTATCAAGGAAGTAGAATGCATAGAGGCAATAATAATAATAATAAAAATTATATATATATATATATATATATATATATATATATATATATATATATATATATATATATATATATATATATATATATATATATATATAAATATATATATATATATATATATATATATAAATATATATATATATATATATATATATATATATATATATATATATATATATATATATATATATATATATATATATATATATATATATATATATATATATATATATATATATATATATATATATATATATATGGGTGGTCCTTAAAACAAATTTTTTTTAAATGTCTGTTCTCACCCTCTAAATGTGTTCTATACAATACTAGAATAAAAAAATTTAAAAAAAAAATAGGTTTAGGGGTAATTCAAGATATTTAAACATCAAATGAGCCCATAAAATTATCAAAAAAATAGTTCTTCAAAAGTATATCATGTTAGGCTTAAAAGAAGTGAAATTATGTTATAACTTCAAATATAATCATCATTTGATAAAAAAATCATTATTTTAGATTTCACTGCCTAGAACATTTTTTAACTAAAAACTAAAATATACATTTTTACAAAAAAAATTTACTATAAATTTTTTTTTTTGTATGTTTTTTTAGTGATATACATAATATACATTGGAAGAACTTTTGTTTTGATAATAATAGGGACCCATCTGATGTTTAAAGGTCTTGAGCTACACCTAAAAAAAAAATTTTCAAAAATTTTTTAATTCCAGTATTATTTTATTATATAGAACACATTTAGAGTGTGAGAGCAGACGTGTGTTGAAATTAGCAAAGCAAGGTTATTTAAAAATAATGAAAACTTTTTTTCAGATCATCAATTTGTCTCTTAGAGGGAATTTTATTTACTATATTATACAAAACTGTTTATCTACATTTTTACTGCATCTTTATTCAAAATAAGAAAATTATAAAAATCTTTGCATAACAAAGATAAATAAATGAAATTTGTAAAGGAGAAACTTACCAAACAATTTTAAAAATTAGTCAGATTTATTATTAAGGTAATTAAAAATACAAAAGCAGAGTCCATTATAAATTATATAAGTGTTATGCAACAAAAACTCATAACTACGATTTTTTATTTTTTGTTATTGTTGATATTTACAATATTTTTCAATTTGTTTTTACTGCTATCAAGCATAATAGTAAAAAAAAAACAAGTAAAAACAAGTAAAAAAAAGGTTTTGTGCCCAACACAAAGAACTTGCTAAAAGTAGAAAACTTACTAATTGTTAAAAAAAATTATTCTACAAATTTAATACAAATTACTTGAGGTACGATTTCCATAACTTACAGCCTCAGCTAACGGTGTCCACCCATCATTGTTTTTTATGCTTGTATCTGCGTTATGCTCAGTAATAATTTTCGCGCATTCTAGCAAATACAAAAAAAAAGTTATCAGATAATTAATTAATCACCATTTAATTTATAATCAAATTATTAATGATTGGAATCAAAATAATAATGTTTGGAACTTACTACAATCAAAAAACCAAAAATACTGCACAAATCACACAAAATACTATAAAATCAAATCATTATATTATAAATAAAAATTATATACTAAATAAATTTTTCTAGCTTAAAAAAAGTTATTAAAACTTTATTTTGTACAACTCAAAAATTAAGAAATTTTTGTTCACAAGTTTCTAGATTAAAATCTTTTAATTAATCAGAAAGCATTTTAAATTAGTACACTAACTTTTTAGTCTAACTATAATTAGTCGACTAATTTTTTACTAAAATTGACTATAATGAGATTAAGTGCTTGAAAGACAAAATAATCTCTAACAAAAAAATTTTAAGAACAAGAACGCTTTATTAAGGTGGTTGAATACTATCTTATTGTATCAAAACACTGTCCTAATTATGAATCCAAAAACCCAGTAAAATCAAATTGTTATTAATAAACAATGTATTAAATTAAATTCAATTAGCTTTATTTTTTACCAGCTTGGAAACAACTGCCCATGCAACTTTTGCAACTGTGTAAACACCTAATAGGCATGGAATGTAAAATTTAGTCATTTAATTTAGTCATTTAATTATTATTTGGTCATTTCTTGAATGGTCATTTAAATAATAATTAAATGACCAAGTTGTGTTCATATTAAAGAAAATGTTTAAAAAAAACATTTCGGCTAAATTATTTTGATTAAAATTAAATAATGAATGCACACCATTAATTTTAAAATTCACGTTTTAGGCAAAGCTCACCGTCTCCATTTTATTTTGGTTTTCGGAGTCTGTATAATGTTAGCTGCAATTAGCAGACTTGATAATTTATTCCATGTGTGTTTAATTCATAACAGTTTCGGTAAACGATAAATTTTTTCTATCAAGATATCGTATTATTTTTTTGCCACAATCACCAAATCATGTTAATTGTATAACTTTTTACTAAATCCCAAAAAAAAGTTTATGATGCAATTAAAAGTTAAATTTATAAAATTTATAAAAATAAAAATTTAATATATAACAAATATTTGCAGTAAAACATACTGGTTTAAACTAAATATAAACTAGATACTAAAAAAATTTTTTTACTAAAGCGCATAAATTAATTAAAAGTATAAAATGAATTAAAAACCAGTGACTTGAATAAAACATATAAACTGAACTAAGTTCTGAAAATAACTGAAAATAAATGTTAAATAAATTATTTTACTAATAACCGTACAAATCAAACTAAATTGAAGTTAAAATAAATATTTGTACTAAAATATACAAAAAAAGTTATAAGATAAATATTAATATGAAGAATCGCATTAACTCTTTCACTACCAGCAGAACAAAAATCTTTTTGTAGCGACTGCACATTTTTTGAATAGAATTTGAATGGCATAACATTGACAATTAATTAAAATTCGAATAGTAAATCTCTTTAAAAGCATAACAAACTATATATCAATAGAAAGCTAAACAAATGTACTTTTTAATAAAATAAGTTTTAGCACACATCATTAAACAATAAGAAATACAAAGTGCTTAAAACCATTGTTTTTATAAATAGTAAACAAAACATTAGGTCCAAAACAAAACTCATTTGATGAATAAAAATAACATTTTTTCTTCATAAGACTTTGGTAATTACTTAACTAAATACTTAACACTTAATTTTAATACAAAACACTTAAATTTTAAAAAGTTAAATTTTACAATGTTAATGCTGTTTTATTTTATAACTAAATTTAAAGGAGTTTTTTTTTATGAAGAATTATTCAAGATTTTTTAACTTTGTGATAACTTTTTTATAGTTACATAATATAGCTCTTATTTTTTCTTGATTGTGTAGAGAATTAATTAAACCTTTAGAAGAAACAAATTCCATGTGTCTAGAATGGAAATTTATGTACAAAACAAGATAAATTGTAAAGAATACTCAAAAGCTGTTACCAGAGGCTTGCGGTAGTGAAAAGGGGTAAACCATAACTAAATGTAAATCAAACATAAAACGAACATCTCTATTAAACCATATGATCTAAATATAGAACAAGAAACCGCAGCATACTGCCTTTATTTTTTCACTGCCTGCAAACTCTAATAATCATAAAATATCTATATGTGTGTCATGATTTTGGCTGCCTTCTAAAACAAAGTAATAATAAAGCAAATAAAACAAAAATATAAATATATATATATATATATATATATATAAAATTATAAATATAAATAAATATATATATATATATATATATATAAAATTATAAATATAAATAAATATATATATATATATATATATATATATATATATATATATATATATATATATATATATATATATATATATATATATATATATATATATATATATATATATATATATATATATATATATATATATATGTATAATTTCTTACGAAATCACAAATATTTTTATTGATTTAGTCAAAAATTATACAAACATTTGATTTTCTGATTGTAGTAGAAAAAATACTTATATCTTTAAAAAAACAACAAAAAAAACGCTATCTTAAAAAGATATTCCAATGACGCCATATACCATAACTGTTATGACTTAAACGCGCATGGAATAAATTATCAATTCTGCAGATTGTGGCTAACATTATACAGACTCCAAGAACCAAAAAAAATGGAGAAGGCGAGCTTCTAATAAAATGATAATTTCAATTTTGTTGCTATGCATTCATTATTTAGTTTCAATCATAAAAAGTTAGCCCAGATGTTTTTTAAATATATATTCTTTAATATGAACACAACTTGTCTCAGTTGGGGATCTCTTTAACTAAATCTATGAGATTTTTTACTACAAATTGCATTTTATTGGTTGAATGTTTAAACTAACTTTTAAAGAACTTAGACATATGTTACTGGCGTTGTCAGATACTACACTCATTATTTTATCATCCACTTTGAATTTTTCTGGGATTTTCAACAAAGCCTCAAATTATTTGCTTCATGGTGCCCATTAAAGTGTCCAAATCCCTAACAAAAACTTATGAAACTGTCTGAAATTAAATGTGACATTGCTGATATATAACTATAGTTTTGACGTCTGCCATGTCAGTATTTATCTTAACATTTTCCGGCAAGGCATTTTTTTTTAGATTAAAACAAAAAACAAATTCTTTAAAGGCTCTACTTTCTACCAACATAAATTGAAGACAACAGACAATAATGAATATTAAAAGACTTCTATCAATCTTATCGCTATTTTCTTTTAGTAAGCCATTCATGTATGGTTCCTTTTGTGCCATGTTTCATTTCTTGTTAGGTGTTATAATTTTGTAATCATGTTGGTAATCAATATGTTAATCTAGTATACATTTTGATGTTTTAATTGAGTGCCTTTTAGATATGTTACTATTACATTCATTGCATACCTATTTTGATGTTTCCTTTTCAATTGAGTAATTTTCAAATTTAGTTTTAGTTGCTTCTTCGATAAACTGTTTATCGATTATAATTTCATTTTAATCCCTTGAAAAACTTAAACTGATTTCGACATCACTATGATTTAGAGGGTTTTGTTCATTCAAGGTATTTCTTTTTTCCAACTTTTTCTTTAAATCAGATATTAAAGTGGTGTGTTCAATAGAAGAAAATATATTATTATTTGACATAAATTAATAATTCAATTTCTTAAAATACTTAATGTTTATAGATATTGTTTATTAAGAACTATTTATTTTGTATTAAGCAGGAAACCATTACTTTGAGGTTTCAATCAAGACATTCCATAAAATTTGTTGTGTTAAGAAATTCGATGAACATAATAAAAATTATGACTTAATAAAAATATAACTATATACCTATATCTATATCTATATATATATATATATATATATATATATATATATATATATATATATATATATATATATATATATATATATATATATATATATATATATACATATATATATATATATATATATATATATATATATATTTAATTTAAATTTTTATTATATATATATAGTTATATATATATATATATATATATATATATATATATATATATATATATATTATATATATATATATATATATATATATATATATATATATATATATATATATATATATATATATATATATATATATATATATATATATATATATATATATATATATATATATATATATATATATATATATATATATATATATATGTATATATACACTGCCGCTCATGGAAGATAGGACTATGGGGATTTTTCAAAAAAGCAATATTAAGATGTAACTATGTTATAGAATTTTTAATTTATATTAGTAAAATGTATAAAAAATATAATTTTTAATAATATAAATTTAAAATTCTATAACGTAATTACATATTAATATTGCTTTTTTAAAAAATTCCCATTGTCCTAACTTCTGTGAGTGGCAGTGTATATGTATATATATGTACATATGTATATATGTATATATATATATATATATATATATATATATATATATATATATATATATATATATATATATATATATATATGTATATATATATATATATATATATATTTATGTATATATATAAATATATGTGTACATATGTATATATGTATATATATATGTATTTATGTATATATATGTACATGGGGCCATTCATAAATGACATACACAAGTATAGGTAGGGGGTCACTAAAAAGCGTACCAGTGCATATAAGGGAAAGGGTGGACAATTTTTTGTTTGAATTTTTTTCATGTAAAGTCTGGGAAATCAGACGAAAAAGCATGGATTTTTTATTTAATGCATTTATCTATCTACCAGAAAAAATGTTACTACAGCTTTAATAATAAATAAAAACAATAAAATCTTATGAAACTTAACAATAAAATCTTATCAAATGAAACAATGAAATCTTATCAAATGAAACAATGAAATCTTATCAAATGAAACAATAAAATCTTATGAAACTTAACAATGAAATCTTATCAAATGAAACAATAAAATCTTATGAAACTTAACAATGAAATCTTATCAAATGAAACAATGAAATCTTATCAAATGAAACAATAAAATCTTATGAAACTTAACAATGAAATCTTATCAAATGAAACAATGAAATCTTATCAAATGAAACAATAAAATCTTATGAAACTTAACAATGAAATCTTATCAAATGAAACAATAAAATCTTGCCATTTACTAAAAGTTGACCACATAACATGATATAACGTAATTGTTTCTTATCGGAGTTGAATTAAAATGCTTGATTGCGGACATTCAGAAACGATTTTAAACGTTTGCGGACAACAGAAACATTTTTAATTTAAAATAATTAATAGTTAAAAATAAAAATATAAAAATTAAGAACATTTCTTTTATTTACAAAAGATTTGTGAAAAATTAAAAACAATAACGCATGAGAATCTTACATTTCTACAAATTCTTGTGGATTAAAACTTTTGATTTTTCAAAATTCAATCAAGTTTCAATTTTTTTATTTAAATTTTCCATTCTCATTGGGACAAAATGTTTTGAAAATAGTAAACATTCCATTCTATATGGTAGCCGTAATGACTTCATAACTTTCAATTTATTGTTTTTGATAAAAAAGAAAACAGCATTCTAATTTAAACTGAAAGCGCGATTTAATTATAATCAACTTTCAAAAGTTTCAATTCAAAGTTATATAACAAATATATGGTGCATTCCATAGAAACTTTGAAAAATTTGTGATTTAAAAAATCTTTTTTTGACTGTTTATGGCTATGAATTATTATAGTATATACTTTATATGTTCTAAAATTAATACAAATATAAAATCAAAATTTAGCTATGAGACACCTTCACGCTGCCAAAACTTGAAAATTTTCTCATTTTCTAAAATCAATAAAGTACATTTAATAATGTTATACTTTAGGAATATGTGATTGCAATTTTTCAAAAGTTTTTGGATAAGTAAAGGGAGAAGTTAGATGCACTATTTCACCAAAAGTAAATAATTAATTAACATATTTGACAAGAATAGTGAAAAAATATGTGTTATGTCAGTAAGAAAAAATATATAAAAACTCGATTCTTACAGTAAAAATTTAAAATTTAAAAATTTTTTTTTTTAGTAAAATGTAACTCTTGATAATTTAAAACAAAATTTTATTATTTTTTCTATCTAAGAAAAATTGATTCCAAATTTTATACTTAGAGTTGCATTATGTCATTAATTACTTTGAAAATGTGATAAAAACAATGTTATTGACATAACGCAACTTTAAATAACAATGAATTACATTACCACAGAATTTTTATTTTTTTATAATTTGAAAATTGTACTTGCAAGCATTAGATTTACTTTTGAAAAATTAAATTACCATGCCGTGAGCTTTATTTTCAATTGTTTTATAACCAAGTCGCTCTAGTTATATGTAAATAGTATAAAAAAAGTAATTTTGTTTTTATCATATAGTAAGACACCAAAAGAAAAGTTTGAAAAATGGAGGAAACAGAATCCAGAGCAAAACAAAACTCTTAATGCAGGTTATTCAAAAACTTATAAACAAAGATTTCACTCAATGATGAGCAAAGGAAAATAAGAAATACAAAAAATAGCGAAAGGCGAAAGAAGTATAGAAAGAAGAGGAAAACTGCTGCGTGATCAACAAATAAGACAAGTCCTTTTTCTTGTCCTTATGTCAAAGGTGAGTTTATGAAAAAAGTAAAAAATGCCTTAGTTGGATCTCCAGAACAAAATACTTCCATTTTGAAAACATTATTAGCTGAAAATCAACCATTTGAGTTAAATCGCAGCAACTGTAAAAGTGCACTTTGCACACAAATAAACTACCCTTGAGGCACTAAATGTCAATTATTGACGGGAAAACAACTTCAAATAACAAGTTTTCTGGCAATATTGGTAAACTTGTTCCTATTGCCTATGATCTCATAATTTCCACTGTGATTCAAGATATAGATACTGAAATTAATTTATTAAATATTGATAAAGATATTTTAAAAACTTTATCGAGTGATCAAAAATATCTATACTGAATAACAAAGGCTATTGAAAATAAAATAATGCCCAAAAATTTAAAAGAAATTCAAGTTGGTCCCCACAATAACGCACGCTGGTTGAATTTGGCAAGTAGACTTTGCAGAATTTGGTGTTACGAGCATGGACTAAATAAAAACGATATTGAGAATTTAAAACAACTTGTACAGTTTTGTGTTGGTGCATATTCTGTATTATGGTTTGAAATTAAAGTAATGTTTATATGTAGTTTGATAATCTTCTATTTATTTTTGAAAAATGTATTATTAATGTTCAGGTAAAACATAAATGGACCAATGGACCATACCATAATATCAAACAGCTAGAACTTGTCCGAAAAATGAACTTACAGGGGTGCGCAGGTTATCGCAGAAAAATAAAAATATTTATATCTCAAAAATGGCTTTTATTTTCAAAGTAAAACTTTTCATGTAACTCTAACTCTTAATAATAGATATAAAAAATCCATGATAATAATTGCTCAGTAACTTAAGTAATGTAACAAGTTAAATATAAAGTACCAAAAAAATCAGTTTATTTTCTTTAGCCAGTCACCTCTGATAAATTTTTATGTATTTTTTAAATTGGTATGGAATTCTCAACATCATTTTGAAAGTTTCTAATACAAACTGCTTTACTGATTCGCAGAAATCAGACCTAAAAGTTGAAGCAATTTTTTTACCTTGTTTTACATATAACGTAAGTTAAGTAGCATTTTTAGCAGTAAGTGTGCCCTCTTTTGGCCAGACTCAAAACTTTTTAGCTTATTTTATTTATTAGACTGACAGCTTTCATACAAAATAGCTAAAAGTTTAATTTAAAGTTTAAATAGGCAAAAATTTGATAATGTTGTGTGTAACATAAATTTAAAATGGAATTGCTCATATATATATATATATATATATATATATATATATATATATATATATATATATATATATATATATATATATATATATATATATATATATATATATATATATATATATATATATATATATATATATATTGCTCATTGCTCATTGCTCTATATATATATATATATATATATATACACATATATATATATATATATATATATATATATATATATATATATATTTATGTTTTTATTTTCTCATTAATAAAAAAAATCTATTCTGCTTCTGTGATTTGAATCCACACTTTTATGAAATACTTGACAGAACATCTTCTACGCCTGTTTTAGCTGCCTAATTTTGACTAAAACTCGTTAAACAATAATATATTTGCCTGCCATATTTTTATAAAATTTTAGGTTCAGATCATAGTTCAAAGTGTTCATTACAAAGTATTGTAGTATGGCAGTTTAAATATATATAGTTCTATGGATAAAATAGCTAGGGCATTAACTGTTTTTTGGTTATTTTTCACTATTTCCTCAGTTACCATGGTAACAAAATTATTCTGAAATATAAAATTTAGAGATATGTTGTTTAAAATTAATTTTACTCTCCTAACATAAGTTTTAACATTTTTGGAGTACTTCCCCCTCAAAAAAAACTTTCTAGTTGTTATTATTATAGTTTTTTAAAAAACGATTAAACTTAATGTACTTTTAGGCAACATTATAATGTAGCTTAATTGTTGAAGTCGCATGAATATTGTTGAAAGAGACTTTTTTTTACCATAAAAATCTCTTTCCACTATGATATAAAGATATATATTATTAAGGATATATATATATATATATATATATATATATATATATATATATATATATATATATATATATATATATATATATATCAGACAATATTTCTTCTCAGAACATGTAGCCAACCGCTGGAACTCAATTGATAATGATACTGTAACAGTCACTTCCCTAAATTGTTTCAAACTAAAACTTAATAAGTTACGCACAACAAGGATGGGCTAATAAGTTTAATATGTTGCGCCCAACTTGAATAAGGCTTAATAAGTTACACACAACTCTATGGACTAATGTCTACATTATTCCATAGCTCAATTGGTCATAACTGGATTGCTTTATCAATACTGGTATGACCCTACCAGGTAAATAAACCAGGTAAATATATAAATAAATTTTATTACAACTCCATCTCAACCTTTAACTCCAAAATACCAACCTTAAAAAAATTTATTAAAACAAATATATTTTTAAAAACTTTTCAAAAACATAAAACAAAAATATTGGTTTTGTGTCTGAAACTAAATTTTAAGTAAAACATATTATTATTTTAGTTAATTTAATAAATAATAAAAAAAACACCTAATATTATATAGGTTTAATTTTACAAAAAAATCCTCATTTAATTTGACAAAATTTTACCAACAAATCCTAGCATGACTGCCAAATGAAGAGGTGTGTTACCTTTAAATAAAAAAATATTATATATATAAATTATTGTTATCACTTTTGCTAAAATAATCATTACATTCTAATTAAATAAAATCAAATTTAAATAACACTTATTGGTATGGCTTAAAATTATGAGATAACATTACCAACTATAAAATATTTTAAACTCTTATAAGTGCCTTTAGAAAAAATAATCTAATGAATGATGTTATATCAAAAATAATCTAATAAATGACCCTTATATCAAAAATAATCTAATGAATGACCTTATATCAAAATCAATTGAATAATCTTGTAAATAATCTGCTAAATGAATTGTCCGTTATATTAATGAGCAATCAATATATAATGAATTATCTATTAGAAGATTTATTAATCATTCATAATATAATGCATGATCTGCTGGATGATCGAATGAATGATTATTGAAGGACCTAAAGATGATCTAATCAATCATCATTATACAATGAATTAAAATAAAATGACACATAAAACTAAAATGCAGAAAAACTCACCGAAGATATCTTTTTGGTTTATATCATATACTCCTGATTTAAGTTGTAATTTAAGAGTATCAATATCATTGTTAAATACTGATTTATGTAAATTAAATTTTTCCAATTTATCAACAGTCTCCATAATGAAAAATTTTTAATAAACTAAAAATATTATACATTTTTTCAATATTAAGTGAGTTAACTAAAGTAAACATAGATTGAAAAAAAAGTTGAAGAATATAGGCCTGCAAAAATGTTAATAATAAAAAACAGATTTACTTTTTATTACATAAAAAATTTGAATACTTTAAATATCAAGAACACCTGCTAGATTTTTTAATGCTTCAGATATGACACTTTCAGTCATTGTGCAAATTCTAAAGTATGTTTATGCTTAGATCAGATATTTTTGCACAAAACTTTCTAAGTAGTCTTTTTTTTATAGAATTAATGCCATAATTAAACATTTAATCATATATTATAATAAAATCCATTTGATATATATATATATATATATATATATATATATATATATATATATATATATATATATATATATATATATACATATATATATATATATATATATATATATATATATATATATATATATATATATATATATATATATATATATCAGGGCCTATTCTAGGAATAAATTTGGGCGGCAGTGCCCCTCTGTCCCAAAGTAATTTAGCAGAAAATCTGCGTTTTTTACTGAAAAAACAATGCCATATAAAATGTAAAAAAGTCCTTAAATTTTAATTTGGGCTGTGCCTAAATATGGTTGACACTGTCAAATATGGCCTAGAATTAAGGATATATATATATATATATATATATATATATATATATATATATATATATATATATATATATATATATATATATATATATATATATATATATATATATATATATATATATATATATATATATATATATATATATATATATATATAAGAAGAAGAATATTTTTCTTTCTTATATATATATATATATATATATATATATATATATATATATATATATATATATATATATATATATATATATATATATATATATATATATATATAAGAAAGAAAAAGAAATGTTTGAAAGGAAATAAGTGAAAAAGTAACAAAAATAGAAGTTAAAAAAAAAAAGTTAATGAATGAAATATATAAAAACAATGGCAAAGAATGAAAAAAAAAACCATTTAAAGAGCGGAACTTTGATGGGCAAATCAAGATTTTTATTTATTTTTTCATACATTTTTTTAGTTTTCTTTCATACATTTCTTAGTATTATTTATTTATTTTTCTTCAATTTTTTAGCGTATATAGTTTTACTTATTATTTTTTGTTAGTCATTTGCTTGTTTTTTAGTTATTATTTATTTTTAGTGGTATATAAATTTTTTATACTATTATATATTATTTGTTTTTATTTTCATTTTAGCTATTTATATTATATATATGTTTAATTCTACTGTGTATTATAATTATTTTTTTTAATTTTAAGTTTTTTTTGTTGTTGTTGTTTGTTTTATTTATTTTGCAGAGTTTTTGTTTTGTTTCGTGATGTTTGTTGTAACTTGTTTTGTTTTGATTTCCTCAGTGTTTTTCTGTTTATATTTTATTTATTTATTTGGTCATAATATTTGCAATATATTTTGATTACTATATTTTAACAACTATGATTATATTAATATATTTACTAAATCTTGATATTTTTTTTAGCAGTAGTCGTTTTTATGTCATCGTTAGTTGTTACGTTTTGTCAGTTTATTACTGTTTGTACTGTAGCTTTGTATGTAAAAATGATTGCTGTATGGAAAGTAATACCGATTTATTTAAATTATTATAATTACTTTATTATTATTGTTATTATTATTATTACAACTATTAATATTATCATTACTAAGATTAATTGTACATATATAATTTTTTTTTAGCTATTTACTTGAGATTAGTATTTCAATACTATTTGTAAATAGCCTTGAAAATTTATTTTCAGAATATATGATTGAATATATGATTGATTGAATATCCCCTGTATATATATATATATATATATATATATATATATATATATATATATATATATATATATATATATATATATATATATATATATATATATATATATATATATATATATATATATATATATATATATATATATCAAATTTATTCTGAAATAGATTTTACATTTCATGGGAACTTTGAATATAGCACAAATACTAATTTTAAGTAATGAAAAACTAAAAACAAAAGCAGTACAATACTAATTTTATATAAAAAATATATGATATAAATATAAAAATATATAAAAGACTCAAATATAACTGATATTACCATAAATAGTATTAACACTGAATGTTATTCTGAGTCTAAAAAATGTGGCGCTCTTTTAAATCTAAGCTCTATGCTTAACTATGTAGTTTGTGATGATCTTACAGTCTAAGCTTCAAAACTTCTCAAATCAGTATTTGTTAAAGCTATCTACCTGCATAAAATCGATACTTTAATTGACCAAAATTATTTTTCCAAGACATATAACTTCAAAAACCGAAAATCTTATTGACATTATTTTTATAAACTCTCATTCTCCTGAAATAACTTCTGGCAATCCTGCAATTTTTATTTCAGACCATATGACCTAGTTCCTATGTATTCCTGGTATAACTCAAAAAATAAGAATGTAAAAAATTCTAGAAGATGATGCAAAAACTTTAATACTGACACCTTTATACAAGATATATTTAATATGAACTGGGAATAACAAATAAAAGATAAAGATATTAACAAATCAATAAAAATAAAAAATAAATTATAAACATAAGAAAAAACTCAAGACATTACTAAGTTTCTAAATTAATTTAAAAGTGAAATTAAACAAATAAAAAACAAATTAAATTTAAATCTAAACCATGGATAACCACAGGTATTCTTAAATCCAGCTGAACCAAAATTGTTCTTTATAAAAAACTTGTTAGATCTTACAATATCATTTTGAGAAATCTATGCTTTGACGAATTCAAATTATATAGAAATAAAAAAAGTAACTTACTAAAAAAATCAAAAAATACTTTTTAACACAAGTTCTTTCTTTTTTGAGCCAGTGACTGAAGTTGAGGTGTCAGGTAGTAAAATGAATATTTAAAACAAAAAAGTCTGAACCCAAACAGGCGTCCCATTGTTATTCTAAACCTTATTCTAAATTCACCAATACATAAAAAGAGTTTTCTGCTGAATTACTCTAATTATCTTCCATTTTTTCTTTTTTCAAATATAAAAAAAGAAAAAAACTATGCACAATAGACTCTACAACTTTCTGGAGAAAGTATCTTTATAAAAATCAGTATGAGAAACAATCATTTAGCAACTCATGGTCTAATTGTAATAACCTACAAAATTAGAATAGCTTAGGACAGTAGACTGTTACCATGTGGTGCTTTTGTTGATTTCAGTTGTAGTTGACCATTCCATTCTTATTAGAAATATGAATTACTATGGTATCAGAGGCACATATTCTAATATTTTCTTCTAAAACCTGTCGATTTTATCAAATGTCTTGGTATCAAAACTGATTCCCCATTTAAGTTTTGTATTACACCTTTAGAACTTAACACTGAACTAAGCAGCACTAATGACATGCTTGCAAAAATTTGACATGATCTCAATCTTGAAACACTTAACATTGATAATTAATTAACATAAAGAATCCTTAACATTAATAATCTTATTTAAGAATCTCATCTTAGATAAGCTTGTTAAATATGGGGACAAACCTAGTCTCAAACTGTATTAATATTATTTAACTTCCAAAAAAAAGCTCTAAAAATCTATTTCAAGGATTTTAATTCCAACCCTAACATACTTTACTACATATCCATTTACTGATTTTTTTACATATAAAAAAAAATACTTGTCACTATCTTCAATCACCTAACAACCTAGTGATATAGTATCTATACCTAAACATCAAACTGTTTTTTATAGCTATGAAACTATTAAATATCAGAGCATTTGTACATGGAATAGTATCCCCTCATAATTAAAATCTATTCTTATATTTTCCAAATTCAAAAACAATCTTTTTAATATTTTTATTAAAAAAGAATTCTTTCTAACTCCTATGCTCTTCTACTGCTAACTATCTTTTATTCATCTTAACCTTTGTATTCACTTCAATGCTGGCTTATAACTACTAATACTTTCTAATGTTTAGATACTTTAAAGTTTTTAGCTGATTGTAAGTCACCTAAAAACTTTAAAGTAACTATATCGAAACACCAAACATTAACAAGTAGTTATATTTATAAAAATAATACTTGTCTAAAAAAAAATCTTCAACCAGATTGAAGATAGTAACGAGTATTTTTTTTATAAGTAAAAAAATCAACTATTACTTGTTCTTTTCTTAATTTTTATCTAATACTCACAATGTTTCAATGCTGATGTATTACTACTAGTTCTAGTTCTTTTTTAAATTATTATTGTTCTTTACTGAAAAGAACATAATAGAATTGAACATAATTAAAATAGAACATAATAAAATTATAAACAAAATAGAACATAATAGAACTGAACAATTATTCAATTAAATTGAAATAGAATAGTAAAGTTTACATTACTATTCAATTTCAAACTCTCACTATTAAAAATATTACAATTTTATTATTATTATTATTATTATTATTATTATTATTATTATTATTATTATTATTATTATTATTATTATTATTATTATTATATTATTATTGCTATTATTATTATTGCTATTATTATTGCTATTATTATTATTATTATTATTATTATTATTATTATTATTATTATTATTATTATTATTATTATTATTATTATTATTATTATTATTATTATTATTGCTATTATTGCTATTATTATTATTATTATTATTATTGCTATTATTGCTATTATTATTACTATTATCATTATTACCAAAATAAATATATTAATAATTGGAGTTTTTATTACTAGTATTATTATTACTTCTACTATTATTATTTATGATATTGTTACTTTATATTATTATAATCTACCTTTTTTCAATTGATAACTTAATTAGATATATAATAACCTTGTATGTTAAATAAATATATAAAATAAATTAAATAAGTACAATTTGTTTGTTATTTTAGATATATCAAACTTATTTATTATAACATATATATATATATATATATATATATATATATATATATATATATATATATATATATATATATATATATATATATATATATATATATATATATATATATATATATATATATATATATATATATATATATCATTCATCAAATATATTACAATAATAATACAATAATACTTTACACATATTAAGAACGGTATCCAGTGATTGATTGCTATTTTTTTTAACCAATGACTTTAACGAAAAGTATTTTTATATTTAATTATGATTTTCGATCAAATTAAATTTAAAATCGAAAATGACAATCAAAAATTAGCATGCCACCAGAATGACATGGTTCATTCTCATCATAATGATGAGCATGGATCATGCCAATGAAGATCATTGGCATAGTCTTTTGTTCTTTTTTTTATTTTAACTATTGATATATGCTATTTTAAAATCAGCATTAAAATCGCTTAACCTTTTTTATCTTCTTTTATAAAATATCATACAAAACATTTTCTATAAAAAGCTAAATATAGAAAAATCAGACTGGCGAAATATTAAAACGAAACAAAGACTGGTAATACTGCTGGTAAATTTTCGAATTTTTCACATAACTTTGTTAATTAAATACCGAGTCTTGGAGATTCGCGGAATTTGAGTAAGTCTACTTTGTTTTCCTAATTTTTTCCAATTCCATTTTCCATTTACGTTTTTTTTGTTTTCAACAAAAACTTTTTTTGTTGAGCAATTATTTAGAACTACTTAAAATTCGTTTTTTTTAAAAAAAAGACACGTCAAACTTAGTTACAATATAATCGAGATATTAATAATTCTATTTTTTTTGGTTAATAATATTATATACCGGGTTTTAAGTAATTTGTCTACTATATACTAGTATATACAGTATATACATTACTAGTATATACAGTGGCGTAGCGAGGAATTTTGCGCCCGGGGCCAAAAATAAATATTGCGCCCATTTATTTCCATTAGTTTTTCTTGTATGTTTTAAATCCACTGCCAGTAAGTCTTGTGTTTTGTAGTAATGTATAATATTTTTTAAATATATATTTATTTTACACAGTTTAGCATACCTACATATGCTGTGTATAATTTACTCATCGTGCATATGTTTTCAGTATTTTAGTTGCACCACCCTTGGCTTTTATAAGCGCTGCATCTTTATTCGGCATATTTGCATAGTATTTGGAAATTAGCTGTGTAATATCCGGGTTGTGAAACCATACATGATTAATGTGTTCGATTTGGCCACGTTTATTAGTGGTGGTGACCTCGTTTACTCTGTTTTTGTGCCATATCCCATCGATTGGGTTCATATTAGGAATACTTTCCAGCTAGGACATCACCTCCATACCAATTTCAACAAAGTAACCCTTGATAATGTTTGCTGTATGGTAGGGTGCCCCATTTTTCATGTAAATGCAGTTCCCATCAGGAAACCAGTATTCTAGTTGAGAAATCAGAAAAGCTCTTATAACTTTGTTTTACTGTTTAACATTTTTTTTTTTTTTTTTAATTTCGTTTTTATCACAATATATTCAAAGAAAAATTAATTAATTTACAATTAGATCGTAATGAAAAATTTACAAAAAGATGGTTAAGAAAAATTTATAATTAGATTGTTAAAAACGTTACTCAATGAGAAATAAATAAAAGATAAAAATAAGACTTTTTTGTTAATATAAAAAGAACGCGGAGACTCGCAGAAGACCGTTAGGTCTTGACATCAAGAACCGCTCGTAAATTAAAACTTCATAAAATTCAATATATAAATAAAGTCAAGTGCATATATAGTTAATCACATTTAAGTGCATGTTCTTATAAATATTCAACTGAATAAACATAAACTAAAATAATACATCAAAATAATAATAACGTTTAAAAATATGACAATATATCATTATGTGAGAAAATAATTTCTTTAAGTTTATTTCTGAATGAAAAATATTTCCATTGCAGAGAAAAATTAAAATGTTTTAAAACTATTTTGTTCCAAAAAAAAGATCCTCGAAAAGAAATACTAGACTTTCCAAAATTAGTCTGAAAAAATGGTTGACGAATTAAATTATAATTTCCTAAATTGTATTTATTTTTATATTTCAGCGTGTATAAATTATGGAAAGAAACTGGGGAAGAGTTAGTTTTACATTTATACATAAAACAAAGAATATTAAAAACATTCAGCTGATATATATTAAGAACTTTCATTTCAAATAAAAGAGGCTTGGCATGAGTAAATCTGTTTTTAAAATTAATAAGACGAGCAACATGCTTTTGCTGACGATAAAGAGGCTCCAGTTAACATTTATTGGCATTGCACCAAGCAATATTTGCATAGTTTAAATGACAATGGATAAAAGAGAAATATAATTAAATTACACTACGTTTATTTAACACGCCTCTAGCTTTATACAATATTCCTATACTTTTAGCAATTTTATTACACAAGTATTCAATTTGGTATTTCCAACTAAGGTTTTCATCAACATAGATACCCAAAAAATTAGCACTAATTACTCTTTTTATTTTATCAATAAAAAGTAAAGGTAGTTCACAAGGAAGTAGTGTTTTTTTAGACGCTGGATGAAAAAGTGTCCATTTTGTTTTTTCAACATTTAGTGAAAGTTTGTTCATTTTAAACCAATCAGATATTTTTGTTAATTTCATTTTCATATCTTGAAATAATGTAGTTATGCTATTATCAGACAAAAAGAGGTTAGTGTCATCGGCAAACATGACTGACATCAAATTAGAAGCTTTATGAAGATCATTTATATAAATGAGAAAGAGAAGGGGTCCTATTATCAAGCCCTGCGGAACCCCACAGGTTATGTTTAATAAATTAGATGGGTTAACTTTATTACTATAAACAAACTGTTAGCGGTTACTTAAGTAACTTTGAAGTAACTTTAAAACATTTCCTTTAATTCTATATTATTTAAAGAAAGGTGATTATATATATATATATATATATATATATATATATATATATATATATATATATATATATATATATATATATATATATATATATATATACATATATATATATATATATATATATATATATATATATATATATTTGTTTAACATTCTGAAAAATAGTTTCAGGAACGCAAGTTTCAAGACAATATCTCTGATGCTGTCTTTCGTGAACGGTATAGAGTGCCGCTTGCAGTTTTGGATGAGTTTGAAGAAATGCTCAAAGATGATCTACATCATCCAACTCAAAGAAATAAAAGTTTATCCCCAAGAGATCAAATTAAAATTTTTTTACATTTTTTGGGTAAGTGTTATTACAACTTAATGATGGCATTGTTTTCATAGTTTAAATTTTTATACTGGTTATGTAAATTTCAAGGTGTTTATATAAATTCAATTTAATATATCTGGAATGGCTGCTAAGATTCTTTAAGTACCAGCTTTTATTTTTCTTCTGTATAACTGGTTTTTATGTAGTATTCTTAGTTTTGTCTGGATATAATTATTTTTACCTCATTTTGAATTTGCATAATTCAAGTATGCTCTATTCTAAATAGTATTTAAAATAGTTAAAAACTTTTTAAAATTTAGGAACTGCATCATTTTACCATGTTGAGCGAGATTGTCATGGTGTTAGAAAAGACACCAGCAATCGAGCAGTTCATGCAGTTCTGGATAATTTGTTTTGTCAGCGAGAGAAAATTATTCATTGGCCTGATCTTGTTGACACCCTACCCAGTAAGTTTTACACTGTGGCACAGATTCCAAGTGTATGTGGTTGCATTGATGGATGTCACATACCAATCATCCCTCCATCAAAAGATAAAGATGCATTCCTCAATCGCCACCAGTTTCATTCATTGAATGTCCTTTGCGTTTGTGGACCAGATTTGTACATTTATTATGTTTATGCTGATGGCCCTGGGCGATGGCATGATTCTAGGGTAGATTTTTGTTTTACTGAATTTGTATAAAATGAATTTTAGCTTATTTATCAATTATCTAAATAACAGCATTTTATAAAGTAAGCAAATAAGTTTTTAACTAATGTAAAATCCATATAAGCAATTCTGTAAAATTTTTAGTTTCTTGGACATTTAAAAGAGATATTGTTTAAACAAAAACAATTTTGATATTTTGACATACAAGTTTTGTCTGTTAAAATATCAAAAATTATTTTTGTTTTAAAAAACATTAAACTTATACTCTACAAAATATTATATTTTTTACATTTTTCATATTTAGTATATTAATAACCAGCAAGTCTGAAAAATTTAGATTTTTTATTCAAACATTTTAGGTGTTACGTCGATCAGCACTTTGGGATGCTTTTGAAGTCCGGGGTGAGCGAATTTTTCCTGGAGCAGTTGTCTTAGGTGATCAAGGCTACCCTTGCAACAACTGGCTCATCACACCTTAAAGTGACAACCAATCCGCTCCCAAGCGTCGGTTCAATGATGCTTACCGAAAAACCAGAAATGTTATAGAGCGCTGTTTTGGGGTTCTGAAAAACAGATTTTACTCTCTGCAAGTACCAATTCGATTTTCTAAAGTGGAAAATGCTGCAAAACTCATTGTGTGTGCTTGCATGATTCACAACATGTGCCTTAAAGTTGGTGATGAGGGAGAAGAACTTCCAGTTTTACCTGCCACACCCTTTCCTTTTCAAGCTAGAGATGAAACTGAAGCTGAAATTTAATTAGGGACTCGCAGGGATCAAATAAAAAAAAATTATTAAATTTTAGTGAAACAAAAATTTTAAGTTTTTCTCTTGTTAATATCTTCTGCTTCGTTCAAAAAATGTGATTTTAACCTGACCCTAATGTAAACAACTTATATTAAAATATTTTTTAACTCATCAGGAGCTCTGAATCTTTTCAGATTTTTTAATGTTAAGTTAATAAATAAAATACTCTTTAACAAAACGTATAAAAGTTTTAAACTTGTTATACAACAAATTTTTGACAATAATAAAAATAATAAAGATTAGTAATAAAACTTTAATAAAGAATATGAAAGTTTCGATCTTTAAGTGTATATGTATATATCATCTATGACTCTTTATGCTTGAGAGTATTTGATTCGGATGATTGGGCGCCTTGAGGCGTTAAAGACTGGATCTGAGCTCGGAGAAGTTCTTGCTCAAGAATAACTTTTTCCATTTCCGGCGAGGTTTTTGGTCAAAACCTTCTTTCCAACTCTCATGTCATCAACTTTGACTGGGAGAATATGTGCTGATTCTTTTCCTATGATGTCCATCACAGTGCATTCATAGTCAGATAGTTGGCCACTTTTAGCACCAGATTTGTTGAGTTTTTTAAACTTATCTATCGTTGATCTCCTCAGGTTTTGCCACTCAGTTGTCCGAATATGTTCAATTGAAACAGTAGAAGAAAGATCGTGAGCTACTAGAAGATTTTTTACTTCTTGCCATTTTTCTTTTCAGTCTTGATTTCTGCAAGACTTTACCTTTTAACTTTAGCTTTACTTCCTTGTGGCATAAATTCTTGGCAAAAGTTGCCAAGAATTTATGCCACAAGGAAGTAAAGCTAAAATTAAAAGGTAAAGTATAATTAATGTTTCAACCATACAGAGCCCGTTTGTAAATTGAAACATCATCCCATTCATTTCCATCCACTAACTTTGCTGGTATTGTCTTATTATTGTTTATCTTAAGGCTTTTATCTTATTCATCTGTAGGCTAACTAGAAATTTAGTTTTCGAAAAAACCGAATCATTTAAATGTTTTTATCATTGCAAAAATGATGTAAACAATTTTCAAAATTTATTTTAAAAATACGTCATTAACTTTTTAAATAACTTTCTTACTTTAGTTTATGAGTGATATCTTTATATCAATATTTACAGAGTTGATTCATCAGAAAATTATACCTTAAACACACGCATACATATATACAGTGGATTACACAGTGTAAGCCTACAACAGTGGACTACAGTTGTAGGCTTACAGTTTTTACAACTAATATTATTCTAGTAACTTAAATTATGTTTAATTTAATTAGTTTTTTGCTAATCAAATTTATTTTTCTAGACAGTATGGAAGTAATCCAACATTTAGACAACTCACCATTTTCCAGTCCTCCATCATTGCAGTAGTCAATTTTGGTTTCTATCTTGGTTGATATGCCTTTAGAGAGTCTCACCAAAGCTTAATCATGTTGTTGCGAATTTTTTTCCGCATTTTCCTTTACTTTTTAGAGTACCAGTTGAGCCATGCTGCATGTTTTTTTTTATGCTTGACACAATGCTCTGAGTCAACCCACAATTTAAACCTATCTGGCATTGAGTACGCTCTGTATACTCCAAGAAAACCTTAATCTGACCCATTTTTATGGGGAGATAAGTCACTTTTTTTATCCCATTGCTACTAAAGTAAATTAAAAAAAATTAAACAATGAAGATAATGTTAGTTTTGTACATAAAGTTGATGGTCTGGTTTCAGGACCTTAAATTGAGTCATTTTTGGTGGCCTGACTGCTTGCAAAATAATCCCTGTCTAATTGCAAATAATTGAGAAAAATAAATATTCATACCTAAGAACATTACCAATGTAAATATATATATATATATATATATATATATATATATATATATATATATATATATATATATATATATATATATATATATATATATATATATATATATATATATATATATATATATATATATATATATATATATATATATATATATATATATATATATATATATATATATATACATATTAACTGTGTAAATAAGAGAAATTTTGATAAATATCTTCAGGATTTATATTTTCTAACTTTGACTTTTTTCTTAACCTGATTTAGACTTTTCATATTTAGTTTATGGATCTTAAATAATTTCTTTATATCATCTTTATAATAGTTAAGCTGGGAATCAATGATTTCAAAAGTGACTATTATTTTTATCAAGTCTATGCATTGTTAACTCTCTATTTTCACAGAGTTCCAAGCCATGCGTTAGCGTTAGAACTACTGAAGATTTATATAATTAGATAATTGAAGATGAATGTGCAAATCGGATACCAGAGTTTGTACTTTTGTTTGGAAATTTGATTCCTTATTGTTAATATTTGATCTATTAATAGAGGCAAAATTGGATTTTTCTGTACCACACATGAAACCCAGGTAATTAGGTTTTTCGTTTTGGTATTCTTTGATTGGTATTATTTGATGTCGTCAGAGTTATCTTGCAATTAGATACTTGTCGTTTTCCGGACAGCAAAAGTTCCATTTTGACAGCATTGAGTTTTATGCCGTTTAAGTTATTGTAATCATTACACTTTGTAATAAGCCTTCCAAGACCAGACAGAGTAGAGCTAAGCAGAATGATGTCATCAGAATAAGCAACAACACAAGTGAAGTTTCTATGTGTTATCTATTTTTAAAGTTTCAAGTAAGTTTTGGGTGATTATGTTACACAATTGGGGTGAAAAATTGATCTTTGCCTTTCACCTTGCTTAAGAGCAAATGAAACTGAAGTGAAACCAAGGTAAAAGACAGTTGCACTATTGTTGTGATAAAAAGAAGATATAAGAACTATTTGGAGAGGTAGTTTTTTATCAAAGTAAAGTTTATCAAAGAAATGAATCCAGTTGCAACTATAAATGCGATTTTTATAATTAAAACGAATCGCACAATAAACAATTTTTTTAATTTAGCTTCCCAAAGAAATCCTTACGGTCTTATAACAGAGCATCGCAATTTGATTACAAAAAAACCACTAAGTTGCAGTTGCGTTCTTTTGTCGAGAAAAAAAGACGAACAGCAATTATTGTTTTATATACTTACATATGAACATATTATTTTTTAAATTTTTTACATAAAATTCTTTATTTTTTTTTCTGTTAAAAAAACTAAAACCATATATTATATTGTTTTTTAACAGAAAAAATATAATAAAAAAAAAAGATAAATTTATAACTTTGCGCCCTATTAAATCTTTGCACCCGGGGCAACATCCTCTTTGGCCCCCACCTGTACGTATACGTACAGAATTTTTTTAAATTAATTTGTGCACTACTTAACTCCCTTTTTCCAAATTAAAGTTAATTCATTGAATAAAATTTTAGTTTGCGTTGCTTTAAATTATCTTAGATATTTTAGATATTAAGTTAGATATTTCTAACAATTAAAAGCTCAATATATATATTGAGCTTTTAATTGGTAGAAATATCTAAGATTATTAAATATGTTAGATGTCCTAATTCAAAGATTTTGCAATTTGTATGGATGATTTCTCTCTAGCGATAAAAAAATAACGTTTTCCCTATAAAATATAACAATATATTAAAAAAGAATTTTTTTAAAAAGCGTTATTAAAAGTTTCTTAAGTAGCTTCACAAATGTTTGTTGTGAAAATGCACTACGTGTTTACAATGTTTGGGTAACCAGCTTTCAAAGAATATTTATGAAAAAGTTGTAAAAGGTCAAGTGGATTGCCACTTTTTAGATTACCCATTAAAGATTCTGGTTGAATTTTTAAACTTTTCGAAATTATTATATTTTTTTTTAATTATAAAATTCTTTCAGCGATGATTCAGAATTACATCCTTGTTTCCAAGCAAGATTTTGCTCTCTAATTGATCCAAAGGTTCGTTTATCTCCTGTAGAGTAAAGCCAATCTACATAATCAGTACTCTTATTACAGAAGCAACAAGGATACTTTGAACTATGATTTTGAGGTCCTAAAATCAAGTTAAGTAGTTTTAAATGAGCGCAAGTTTTATACTGAATATTTTCCAAATCTTTGAAAAAGACATTATAGTTTTTATAATTCTCCTGTATATTTGGGACGACTCCGAAAAGTCTGATCAATGGATGTTTCTTTTTTGCTTTTCGAATAGTTTGATCTCTTGGTGATATCACCACTAAAGTAACTTGTCACATCAACAATATCTAGGTTAAGAGAGGTTAGAAATTAGAGAAATATCTACCGTCATCAACATATACAACATCAACATATCTGGTTATTGGTTGTTTTTTTTTTGCGAAAACTTTTGACGTGAACGGACGTGCTTTTGTAAACTAAATTAAAAATGGCTAAATTTACCGTTTCTCAAATTAAAGGTCTATTAGATATTCATGAGAATACTTTATTGAAAATATTTAACGAGAAGTTTGATAAAATGGAAATCAAACTATTAAATCTTCAAGAAGAAAATTCAAAACTAAAAAAAGAAACTAGTGAATTAAGGAAATCGGCAGAGTTTCTTAGCGAGAAATATGAATCAATTGTTCAAGAACTTTCTGAAATAAAAAAAAAAGCCTAACTCAACATCAAGCCAGAATGATATAACAAATGTTGTTGTCAAAGACAAACTTGCTGAGTTGGAAGACAGAAGCAGAAGAAATAATCTAAGGTTTACAGAAATTGAGGAAGACGAAAATGAAACGTGGGCATTAAGCGAAGAAAAGATTCAAAATGTTTTAAAGTCAAAACTTGGTTTTAAAGTTAATGTTGAAATTGAACGTGCGCACAGGACGGGGAAAAAAAATAACGATGGAAAAAAGTAAAACAGAACCATAATAGTAAAATTCTTAAATTACAAAGATAAAAAAAACTGCGTTGGATAACTATGTTCAGTTAAAATTGTGGAACGATCGGCTTTACGTAAACGAAGACTACAGTGAAAGAACTTTGGAATTGCGAAAACAGTTATTTAAAGAAGCA